CCATACATCCACGCCCAGGTCGAAAAACAGCGTGATTTTCTCTAGTCTGCTCTTCACGAGCCCTAGTTGGTCGTTGGAGTATCATTAAAGTTAGGATTTTAGACACAATATTAGTCAAACCGATGGCTCTGTGATTGTCACAAGAGGAACTTTTTACTTTCTTATAGACTGGGTTAATCAGTGATTGAGTTCCGTCAGTTCCCGACTTCCACTTAAGATCTCAGTCAATGTAACTAATGAAACTGGACCGCCATCACTAAAAATCTCAGGTATTAACCTTTCAGGGCCTGCGGCTCTGACTCGCTTTAGATTTCTTATAGCTTTCTCAACTTCACAGAGTTAGAGAACTTACACCGATTTACCATTGACGCTGACTGGAGATCGTGGGTAACCAAAATGTGGCTGAGGGGCAGTTGACCTGATCGCTTCAGTGTTCTACCCATTGATCCATCCTCTTGCATTGAGAATAATATTATCATCTTTTTCCGAAATAGTTTCCCTAACTGTTGGACTTCTAATGTCGGTTTCCTTGATAAGTCTGAACGGTTGTCTACTGTTAGCTATTGTCGCTGCCTTTTCCATCTCTTTTGCTGTCGCGACCCACCATTGTTCCCAATCAGTTCATAGACTTCTTTTCAGTCTGCGCTTAAACTGACTGCTCTCCTAATCATGTTTGAAGCCAGATAGGATGAGTTTCCGAGCATCTATCTTTTTAGAAGACGCTAATGAGGTCCATTGTTTCTCTTTAAACTTATAGTTTACCTTATTAGCAGATATTACTGCCGTTTCTGACAGTTTTTTTAGATATCATTCTCAGCTGCCTCTGGGTGTGCGTAACTTACATTGCTGTCGGGCTGTTTTATATAACCTCTTTAAATATGCTGTTGGCTTTATTATCATAATGTAGATCTCTAAGGACGTTCTTTGCCGGTTTCTTACGTCTAGTAAGCTTCAGAAAAATACGTGCTCGTACTAGAGCATGATCTAAATCTAAACATGTGATTCAAAATGAGCCATAGTCTTCTATCAAGCCTCTTCATCGGTGGCTGATGGCGTTGCGATTTGATTGCGTCAAGAGTTGGGATGACTTTGGGGATTTACATGTCAAAAGATGTTTTTCATTGTGCTTAAAGTTAATACTTGTTGGAGATAGGCGATTGTCTGAGAATAGTTGCAGAAAACGGTCGCTATTATCTGCTCTGTGAGTCTCAACACAGTCTACTTACTTGAACACTGAAGTCGCCAGCGCCTATTTATATATATTTCAGAGCTAAGCTTTTAGTAAGCTATGTGTAAAACTTATCTTTCACCTCGCCTGAACTCTATTCAGTGGGACCGTAGGCAGATACGACGTAGAGGTAGCGGCGAGTGTCTTTATCTTTTCGAGTTTTTGCTGTCCCGTTTAGTCGGACAGCGCATAAGCGACTATCTACCTGGATCCAGTCTAAGAAAACTATTTCTGCCTTAGTACTGAATGTTACACCTACATCAGCAAGGCCACGAGAAGCAGCAGTAGGGCTCTCAGATACGGGGAGAGTAAATCGGAGCAGTTCTTTATTTGGAAAAGATGAAGTGAAATAAATAATTCTGCTCGGATCTTGTATGCATGTTTCGGAGAGATTCTTAAGTCTTAGCTAAGGAAGCCTGTTGTCCTTTTTAATATAAGGTTCAACCTGTAGTTTAGAACGAGGTTTCAGGACACTGGAAATAACGTTTCGCGTACTCAAATCTTTAGCATTAGCGGTGTGAGGTGATAAAGGAACCTAAGAATGTTTGTTCATGTAGGTAAGGGGGTTGTTAAAAAGTATAGCGAGGAATTGGTTGTGACTAGCTTGTTCTCGTGTGCTTTCATAGGTATGAGGTCGGATGTCACTTTTCGGCTGTCCACACAACGGAAGGTTGTTTCTAAAGAGACATCAAAAAAGGAGCTAGACTAGTGTCAATCTCAAATACCTGGAAGCCTAATCACAGAGCCCGACTTCTTCGAACCGGTCACGCACGGCTTTTTTGTAATAAGTTTATGTGTCAGCTCCGCTCTTCAAATGGCCTTACCGACGGCGACGGAAATCCGCGAGATATGGTAAAGTGTAACATTTTTAGGGCCGACCTTTCTAACCCCTTCCTTCCTTGGGAGAAGGCAGCAACACTGCAGATGGTGGATGTTCGAGGGAAACACTTTACTGTTGCTAAACGCCTCTGCAGTCATCAGTACGACTTCACCCTTAGAACGTGAGTTGCTGTTTTTAGTCTCACTGTTTTCCGATTGACCTGCTTGGCATGATAAAACCTATAGCAACGTATGTTATAGCCAATATAGCCCGGTTGAATACATCTTGATAGTCAAGCCCAACCACCACGTCAAGGTAGGAGCTACACAGTTGGGAAATTTTATAAACAATAGTTAAGTTTTCTAGAAAAATAGAATAATTTTTTGCATTCAGATACAAGGTATACAATATCGCAATTCAAAATGAGAAGTTAACACTTTTAACTAGAACAGGAAAGAGGTTTTTAGTTAAAAAAGTGAGTAGTCATTTAATTATCATTTTTTTTCTTGTTTTAATGAGGCATAACATATCTGTGATAGTGTGTTTGAGATCAGTAATAAATAACATGTAGTAAACATTTAGGTAACGTGAAAACACAAATAATACGTTAAGCTAGTAATTCAAATTTATTGAATAGCATAAACAATATTTACTTTGAAATCATCACACCAGTGATACCCAATATTTTCCTTAGTTTGAAGTCATTAGGTAAAGCCTTAAATTAGTAAAAATTCCCATTCAGATATTTCGTGCAAATATAAATAGAGTGAATAAATATTTGCTTTATAGCAGTAGTCATTTCAGCACGGTTTGATTTTCATACATCTGTGATTCACAACAATGATATAAATTATTAATAATCGTGTAGAACTGTTATATAATAATACTATAACTTCACATATGATCTAGAAAAATTGTTAAGTGACTATCTAAGTAACTGAGAGAGGGAGGATAAGCTTATCATGCAGATTAATGGTAGCCAGAATGTATAATATAGGATCAGAGAATGAACAGTATTTTATTTAGAAGTTATCTTAATGATAGTTAAGTAAGAATAAGGTTCAGCGGTTGCCAGATTGTGCAAAATTATCATTGTAGATCATGAATATATTTCTTTTCTCAAAATTTACATAAATTCTATAAGAATTATCGTTTACCCTATCAATTTTGTTGACAGCTTCTAAATTTGTCTTACGTCTGGGAAAGTTACAGGACAATCAGAAGACTACGGGGTAATCAGTTATTAGAAATTCATACTTAAATCCAAGTCTTGAATAGTGTGATGGTAATATCAATCAATGAAGGTGATGTTATGTGTTATGAGTTTAAGTAGAACATGAAGTAATAAATTATTCAAGATTTCAAGTATACTTTTTCAAGAGGCACAAATTCACATGAAACTTAGTTTTAGGGCTAACTGCTGATTAGCATCCATTATGTACTATTGTAGAGTATTAAAAATTGTAAATAACTAATCTAAAAAAAGTATGAACAAACTCGGAGGGAAGAAGATTTAAAATAAAGCAAAATTTTTAGGAACTACACTGTTTGTTTAGTTTCTTTAAATTCTACTTCTATCATCTCTTTTTTCAAGACAAAATATTTTATATAAGTCAATCAGTCAGCTACAACGTCGAGCTTGGTGCTCACTTACATCAGTTCAAGTCGCTATAACATATTAGCACAAAGAGATGGAATTGTCAATTTGAATTCCGATTGTTTTCATCACGAATTAACCTTGATGAAAGAATTTTCAATCAACAGTTGAAAGCGATTTCATCGCAATGTTTCGTCACATGCTCATTAATTGCCCTACACAGACTCAAAACATTGATATCTAGAAGCATTTATACTGAAATATAGTTAACTATTTTACAGTCCACTGTGATTACTACTAAAATTCGAATGGCGAGAAGGTATCTTACTGTTAATTCTGAGATATTCATTATTATTCATTTTTTTAAAAGTATTCCTGAATTTGCTGACTTTTTTTCGTATAAAAAAGAGATACAATAACCTTATTTTAGTCATTATTCAATGGATAATTATTAATTGATTAAATCACTTTTTAATTCAATACTAAATTATTATTTTTAATTTAAATACAATAGGTAAACCGATTTATTCACGTGATCAATTATCACTTTATTATAATTTATATAAATTTATTTCACACTTAATAAATAATATAGAGGATACTCAATTGTAAGAGGATGATTCTGTAAGTAAACAAAATGATCTTTTTATAATAAAAACTAAAATTATCAAAATAAAAAAATCTTCAATCGATTTGGTTATTAATTTAGGCCATAGGTATGAGGACTTGATTTTTTATTCTATCTACTCAATGTAACATCATAACTTTGTTAATAATTATGATAATAATAATAATAATAACAATAATTCGTTTTACTTTGAAACGAATGTACCGGAAAAACTGAATATCATAAATGACTGGTTTATTATTCAATGTAACAATAAAACTAATTGTGGGATTAATTTTGTGGTAAAACAGTTTTAGGTAAAGAAGACTAGTGTAATAAAATAAAGCAGTTCACATTTTCAGGTGGACAAATTTCAAAGGTATCTCACTAACAGTTGGAAGTCAAGTAATTTTTTTATCGATAAAACTATTTATTTATTTAGTTTTGAAGAAAATTTAAAAAATGTATCAATGACTAAAATAACATTTTCACGTTTCATCTTAGCATACATTATGAATTTATATTAATATTCGTTAGAATTTATATTGTTTTAACTTGTTTTCCTAGTCAAATAATATTTTTTTGTAGGAAATTCAATTAAATACTTGCAAAGTTTGTAACAGTGAAAAAGTATTTTGATGTATGTACATGATCAGATTAGTCTTTTTCAAAAAAACAAACAAACAAATTAAACATCTAAAGAATGTTAAGTTATTTATTCATCGAAATAATGATATAATATACATACCTCTTTTTTATGATTAGTAGATTGATCATGACCTGAAAAAAATAAATAACGCTTCAAGTTAAAGCGGATTATATATAGAAACTTAATAAGAATGAAATAAATGATGAATGCTGTAGCTATGGATATAAACTTACTCTTAATTGTATATCATTTGAGAAATTAGAAATCATACATCAATCATATTATTCTTACTGAACTTATCAAAAAAATTAAAATAAGTAAATTAAAAAAAACTAAAAGATCACATGATATAGTGTACAATCAAGAGTGAAATAGTGATTATATGGACGTTAGTGAACAGTTTTGCATTTTGTGAACATGATGGATCAGTAGATAATATAGAAAGCAGGAGGAAAGTTAGACGCAAACATTCAAAAAATGCTTAGTTTCTATAAGATTAATAAATTAAACTGTCAACGTGTAAATGGTATGAAGATATTACCACGGCAGATAATTTATATCTAAATAATGTGTAACAAATTAGTTGGATTTGTTGACATTGCACCGGTTGACGAGGAGATGACTGTGATAATTCAACTATTAGTTCAATAAATGTTCGTCATTTAAATCAATAAATTCTAGGTTGAGCTTTTAGTGGAAGCGGATAAATATTTTGAATGCTTAGCAATCATTCCTAACAAGTTGTGAATAGATTAAAAGCGCTAGTCTTTAATTCTGCACTCAGTGAGGATAAAAACGTCATGATAAAATGTATATTAATAAACTAAATCTTACAGTAGATTAGATTAAGTAAGATTGAGACTAATCGGTATTGTGTTGTGGTGTTAGTTTCAACACTCTGATTTGTTAACGTCACGTAATGTATATATATAAATATATATATATATATATATATATATATATATATATTATAATGTTTGCTCATGTAATAATTTTTCAAGTCATATAAAATCAACTGAAAAATCTCGTTTCTATTTGTATTTGGTATCCGTCTGTCTTTGCAGTACAGTGGCCTCCCATTAACTCTAACACTGGACTATTACATTCACTTATTCAATCCAATAAAAGATAACATTAATTAGGACACCCATTGAATTAAATTAGAGATTCTCAGCAAATTTTAAAACGCTACAGCATATTCAAAATATTTTTTTTAACATTAAAGCCTAGTTATGAACTGAGGAGAAATGTTTGAGAGGTTAAATTTTTTCGTAAATCCGTTACACATGTAAAGTTTGTGTCTACGAGAGATCGCTAAAACAAAATATAATTTGATAATTTCGTTACACTATTTTTGATTTTAAATTGTATCTATATATTATTACCATAATTTATAGTTATTTCACTAAAAGTAATATTGTTAATATATTTGTATTTTTGAAACATGGAAAGTAATTTTTTATGGTAGAAACTAAGAACATCGTCTTCACTTTTCATTGTAACAAAATGTTAAAAAAAAGTCTGACTGAGTGCCAAAATGCCTAAGAATTCATTTGAGTAAATTTTATGAAAATAAATAGGATTTCAGTAGTAGTGAACTATGAAATTAGTTTTAAGAGTAATAAATTGTTTATTTTAGTTATGCAAGGAGCTTATGTACGATATATACATATATACACATATACATATGTATATATATATATATATATATATCCAAAACAGGAATACATATATATAGCGATTCGTGATTTTGATCTTTATATTTGTGTTTTTATGCAGAGATACTCCTATATTTTGTACTAGTAAAAATACCTGGACCATACTTCTCGTACCCCGGTCAAGCACACATTACATTTTATGGATATCTAAAAGCAATGATTTAATGACCATACTGGATAAGGTATGGAAAATACGAGAAAGTAGTGTTCTCAAGAGAGCCTTTATTGTTTTGGAAAAAAGGTAATATATGACAAAAATACTAATGTCTAGTTTATTGAAACAATGAGAAGAATTTGTCTGAAAGAATGATGCTATAAAAGAAATAAGGATTTTTAGTGAAATTATGACAGTTGATCTAATGTTAAACAATTACTTTATCTGGTAAAAAAAATAATAAATTTTATATGAAATATATTTATAGAATAGTCTTTTGAAAAATGCATTGTAAAATTCACTTTACAGTGACGTTCATTTACCATTTGAAGAATATTGTATCTTCTTCAAGGTTATAATTGGGGGTTTCTAGTGACTATAAGCAACTACATTGTACCATTTATCAAGTCTGAATGTCTGAAAAGAATTGAAAAATGCTATGGAAAATATTTAACAAGTGATAAGATAGTCTGAAATGAATGATTAGTGGTATCATACTACAACTTCAATTGTAGAACGAATAACCTATTATTCACCGATGCAGTTTGTAGAGAACAAACCTTTTACTACTCATTAGATGTTTATTTATTTAAAAGTTCGTAAAACATAATACAAAGTTGTAAGTCTATTGTTAAAGGCTATGTGAATAAAACTAAACTAAACTACGTAGAACGTAGCTATCAACTTCAGGACATATTCTTCATCCTACTTCAAATGTGTCAGTGGATTTTTACAATTTCCAGTAAAACGAAACAAAACCAGGTAATCATCACTTTCAAAAATAATGTGTTGTGATAACCAACTTCTTGTCAGAGAATATTAGATGTCGATAGTTGTGGAAGTCTTCTGATGCTAATAAATAAGTAGATATCACAACTCAATAATCGAGAGTGTGCTGATCACATGTTTCAAGTTACAGATACTGTACTATGTTTTTAATAAGTTAACCAATATCTCAAAACGTCCGTACATGCTGCTGATAAGTTTGAAGGAAAATAAAGGTTTATCAATCATCCTGATACAAGTTACCATAAATAAACGTTTTTCTTGTGTATATCAGTTTAGATTGTAGTGAAAGACTCGTAATTAGAAAAAGAATATAACGAACTGATTCATAATCAATTCAATGATTTTGTTTTACAATGAATAAAAAATCTACACATCACTAGTGAACCATTTGTGTTTGAAGAATAGTTTATTGACACCTAGAATCAATTCAACTGTCATTAGGATTTTAGAAGTTAAAACAAAACGAGAAATTACTTAAAAGCACTTCATTCGAATTGAGAATAGAATTAAGTTTTGTCTGAAAAGGAAATCTAAAATAAGTTTCTAATTTTCTTTTTTGAAAATGTAAATTTTTATTTATGGTAAACTGCTTTAAACTACTTTAATTTCACTTCTATAAAAAAAATTAGATACGAATGTTGAGCTAAAATTAGTATGAATTTTTCTGTGAAAAAGATTATACTCACAGAATTTTGCTAAGGGGGAATTTATTGTTTTTAAATGAAACCTCTGCGTTTTCCAAGTGAAATGAAAATGTAATTATACACGAAAAAAGGTCGATATTTTGTTGTTATGTGCAGTAATGATTTAACCGAAAAAAATAGGTGAAATGTAATTCAAATGTTAAGATTTGACTACTTAACGAAATAACTTTAGCTCCGATTGACCTAACACATGTATTGTTTAGCCTAATAGGAAGGCGATGAAGCAATATGAAAAAGTCTTTAGATGCAGGAACATACGAAGATATTTATGTTAGGAATTTCAAATGTGAAAAGCATGAACTTAGATGCATATATGTACAAATTGATGCCGTAATTATTAGGGTTCAACCATATCGGCTATGAGGTTACACACAGAAAGACGGTCATGGTATAGCGTGAATTAGTTGAAATCGCATATGTGAACCGTCGAATCCTAGGAAGTGCTCAATGCGAGAAATGGAGGTGATTGATTTTATACCCAGGTAGAATCGCAGATGTGAAACAGTGAGAAATTGGATACTAGAGTGATTAAGCTGCGCAGCGACTGAGCTTTTCAATGGTTGTTGAACTCAAATGAAATTGTGTAAACTATGAAAAACAATGATAAATTTGAGAACAATGAAAGCTGTTATCAGGGATTTAAACATTCCTAGTAATGACAATATCATATTATTTGGATTCCTAATTTATTGATTCTGATTCGGTGCACAAGTCATTGTCAGCAGTTTATTTATGATTTACTTTGTTCGTTCTTCTTTCTACAGAAATAAGTCTTCATTTAGCAGGACTAACTAGAAGACGCAACATGTCAGCCAGCTAACAACCAATAGAATGGGTTGTGTTTGATCGTACTGAACTAGTTTTTTTATTTACATCTATTCTACAAATTATCATGAATATAAGTTTCATCCATTAAAATACTTTAACATCGCCTCACATCCAAACAACTTTAACAATGTAACATGATTACAGCATTAGTAAAAATCTTATTTATCTAAAATCATAGAAGAAAGTGAGTACCAAATTTATGAATTCGTCACTTATTATCTTCTTATAGGATTCTCATTTGATTATTTTTTTTTAAATAATCACAAAAAATTATTTAGGCTTCATGTAAAACATTCTTCATTCTAGTTTATTCTCAGTTTTGATTTTTCGGATTGACTATTATAAATGCATTTCTTTCAGTGGATTAGTGATAAATGTCAAGGACAATCAAAGAAATTCAAGACTAAACTTTGACCTGATTTCAAAAATAAACTACTAAGCTTCCTTGAATGGTATTCAATCTTATAATTAGTAAACTAAACTTAACTGTGTAAACACCTAAGGTTTTAAAAACAGTGAAACCATTAAAAGACATAACTGTGACAATAAACTATGAACTATAAACGCTGTCCTCATATAACCAACACTTCTAAAACATAGAGGTATGCTCAAAAGTGTTTAAAAAATTAAATACAAACTGCGCAATTCATTGATTTTTATGAAAAAAAAACAAGCAACCGAAATATAAATCGAATACTTTCGTTGAGGTAATACGTTACTTTAAAATAATATCAGTTATCAAGTAAAAATAAAATGAAAAGCTGAAATTATTCTTAACAATGTCAGAAAAACGAACCTTTGATTGAATGATTCAACTGATTACGAGATGAATTGTTTGAACGATTTACAGCATTATTTAAAGATACACGTGAAGATTTGAAACATTGAACATCGTCAGTAACATTCGAGTCATTAGTAATAGCAAGAGATTGATCGGTTGGAGTATGGCGAATACGCCTAATTGTACGGTTATAATTAACATAATCATTCTCATCAGAATCGTCATGTTTATTTATATTAGAGTTGGAATGAGTTTTTGAATGATTTGAAGGATTACTCAACGTTGTTGTTGGTGTGGATGTGGAAACTGTTACTGTCACTGGTATCACTGAAGCTGTAGTTGTATTAATGAGAGAATTATGATTATTACTATTATTATGTACTTGAAATCGTTGTAGTCGGCGTGTGTCCCAATAAGCAGTGGCTTCGTCTTTATTAAATTCTTGATTATTTACATAATTATTAGTACTTTTGGCATCTACAATGTTTGTTTGATTATATTCGATATTTTCACTCATTGGTAGTTTCTGACTTTTTTTAGGTAAATTTTTAGAGTCATTAACAATAGAAGAATGGTGTTGGTGTTGTTGATGACTAGCAGAATTCTGAAAATATAAACAAAAACGAATCAAAAAAATCTTGTCAGTGAAATCGACATAAGAAAATTTGTCAGGGGAAATTCTGACCTTCCTTTCAAATTAAATTGATTGCAATTGAATCTGAAGATCTACGTTTCGAAATCAACGGTTTAACCCCTTGGTTATCATGTGGTAAATTATAAAAACGTGATTATGTACACTTTAGTAAAGTTCAACTTGTAAAAAGAATGTAAATCCTTAAACCCGCTATTGATACAGTTTGTTGGATTTCATTAATTAAAGAACCATATAAGGTATCAATACCAAAATTTTCTTTGAAAATAATAATGATTTTATTTATTATTATATGTTGAGTACAATATGGAATTCTCAGCACAGGATATAACAATAAGCTTTCTATTCTATGCATATTGCCAGCCACCACGATATCTCAGATTTCAATTTTGTGGAGTGAGAAGTCGTAAACTTCCGATATATGCGCTTTAACAGATTATGTGGTTAGTAGACATAATTGAATTGTTAAAACAAACAAACAGAGGTAGCTTATTGTAATATTTTGATGTTAGGAAACAGGTAGTGCAGACATTTAAGCAGGCCGCCTTTCTTTATAGTTGGGAAAACCTTTCTGTATTAGTGTGACATTTTTTATATCAACTTGATGGTTAGTAAAAATAGCGTATACTACTATTGCTGATTTAATTTGCAGATAGATAGATAGTTTTATTTTATTATGCATTTAATAATATTCATAGGAAAATTCTTAAGTCATAGTATGTTCCATATATTATCTTTGTCTGAAGTAATGATTTTGGTATCCCTCCCTTATGAAAAGATTCACTGCCAGGGAAATTTTCGCACTGAATTAATGTGCAGATATGAAATCAGTATACTGGTTTGAATATATTGTTTTTTAATATTTAGTCAGGTTTAGATTTCTATTAGAATTATTTCTCGTTAGACGACAGCCAAAGAAAGTTAGTTCACTGAGTTCATTGTCATTTTTGAAGATGAATTTGATTTTTTCAACGAACATAATTATCACTTTAGAGAATCTTTTAGGTAAATTCTTTTTTATGATGATAAATGTGTCATATACATATCTTAGCCCGATTAGTGGTCTGATGATACTGACAAAAATATAAGCAAGGCGATATGAGATAGATAAATAAATTACCAACAATCGGAGATACTGGAGATCACATGTTCACTCTCATTGTTTGTTGATATAAAATTCCCTTGAAGGTAAACAGCGTGAAATTCAAGCTTAGTTTGAGGGATTTCATAATTAAACTAATGCTCATCGGACATCTGTTAGAAAGAGTATTATCATCATCAAGTAAGCCATTTGTAATTGAAATACTATTGTTTTGTTCTCGTTAACAGTTAATTACGAGATTTTCGAACCCTTTACGACATTATTCAGGTTATGTTGATTTGGCTTCAAGATTCGCTTCAAATTTCACGTTTTCAATAGAACTACGAAATACTTTATAATGCCTACATCAAATGAGTAACTTAACTTTTTTCTCCTAATTAAGAATTTATTGTACATAATTTAGAAATTTTAAGTAAGCGTAAGAATGACTTTTATTGAAGTTTCTATATTATTTAATAAAACTATCATTGTAAAGTCATTGTTCCAACAGGATCTTATACGTAGTATAAGTATAAAAATACAGTCACATACAAAAAGTTTAATGTTGGAATAGTAGCAGTCGTAAAACAATCAGTGATTATCAAAAGCATTAAACATAAACAATACGATTTGAGAAGAAAGAGTGAATCGTGAAAGTACAGCATAAGGATTTTGTTGATTTGAATTGAGAAAACAACCAAAGCGTTTGTGTGTGAGTTTGTATTCCTGGTTTTGTATAACCTTAAATTTGTAACTCTAACAAAGAATAGTGTCAGTAGTCATACAAATATTTGTACCATTCTCGTCAGTGTTCAAGAAAACAGATGATTTATATCCGTATAGACTGATTTATGTGTGCTTGCTTTTTGGATTTACAGACAGAGCAACCTGTAGAAGACTAGACTAATCATGTCAACTTTGTTGACTATTCATTGTATTATTGTCTATTTTCAATTAAATACTGATTTAAAAAAATTAAGTTATTTGATTGAAGAAAATTAGACAATAATGTTAAAATTTTGTCAGAAATAAAATATTTCAGTTTTTCTTCTAAGAAAAATTAATTTTTTTCCTTTGTGACAATAAAATTGACAGTAGAAAATGGATACGAAACATGTGGTCGAAAAAAATCAACTGATTAAAGAGTTCTGTTTTAAGTTTCCATTAATGGAGTTACCTTCATCAAAAATAGTTTAAAGACATAATCTTTCAAAAACCAAGAGATTTGCTACTGTTGTAGAGTGTAGTGTGTGTGAGAATATGTCGAACCCATTTGGCTTGTTCTAGTTTTTGATAAAACTAATTAATTTTTCCGCTTGAGTTACTATTCCTACGTCTTTTGACCTTGTCGACTTCTTGCTTATGTTTTGGTTGTTTTAGTGTGTGTGTACATCGCTTACTTCGTTTCTCACACGTCTAGCCAATTTTCGCCTGACTATAAAAACAAGTCACGCCTCATGGCATTAAGTTCGCTACCATGCTCTCTTCACTTTGCTTTCACGGTTTGTATCCCCATGTCTGTCTGTGTGAATAATTGCATGGAAGGAACTTATTCAGGTGAATCCGTATTTGGCTTCTTATTGCATAAAAAGGGTTCACATAAGCATGACACAAGGAAAATGAAGTAAAGATTTATTTCACAGCATAATCAAATGTTCTTTTAAATCGTAGTCAGATCTCGTCCCACGAAAACAGTTTTAAAGTACAGTTGGCGAAAACTGGTGGGCGGCCTATGCTCCATTGGGGGTAACAGGCGTAAGTAAGTAAGTAAGTAAGTAAGTAATACTGATTTTTGGAATATTGATTTATCTCAACTGTATGAGTTAAGTGAAGAGGTTTCATTCCCGTTCTGGGAGACATTATCAGGTCTTACTTCAAACCGAAGTGATTTGTATAAGAATATTTCACTGAAGCTAAATTATTCCATCCTCTTAAAGCATGTTTCTGACAAGCAAAAATAATCGTAAACTTCTACACATACGTAACAAGTTTAAAAATGGACTACTGAATAATTATAGAATAGTTGGAACCGAACTTTGTTTTATCATGTAATACAATGTCAGTCTCAAATGAAATATAGAATGTTAAATACAATGACAAGGTTTCTTTATCAATAAATAAATCCCTTTTCAAGATAGTAATCGTTTCAACAATTTCAGTTTTATATATTTAAAGTACAAATGAATAAAAACAAGTTTCGAGGTGATAATTTTGTTTCCATTGTAAAATTTTTATGTGGCTATAGTTTAAATAATTTCAATTCAAGAGAAACAATTTCAAGAAGTAGGAATAAGAACGTTGACGTTTTATCGTACACTAGAAATCGTATGTATGATTTATACTACAAGTGTATTCATCAAAAAAGCTTATTTCAATGTAGAATCATATAAAAAAAGAGAAATCGATGTAAATAAAAATTAGACAAGAAAATGACAAAACGCTTTCAATGTTAAGTTATTTTATTCGTTTTCAGGATTTCTATTTTGATAAAGCAAAATAAAAATTTGCGCGATTAGCACTGAAAAGGGATAGACAAGTATCAAATTGACGAGTCAGTGATCTCAGTCTTACGAGAGGTCAGTTGATGGCCCCGACAACATAGTAGTAACATCTTAGGAGATGAGACTTGGCAATGTGATTCTAAATTTCGCAAGAGGTTTTAGTTCCCCCAATCAAAATAAAAGCGTTTTGCTTATGAGCATCAAATATTACGAAACTTAGGTTCCAGTTTTCCCGTCGACTACTTCAAAGAACTTAACATTACAAAACTGAGATTTTGTAATTTTATTTTATAATACTGCCTGCCTTAAAATATGGACAACTTAAATACATCAAACAGTATAAAATGTCCCACGGTGACTTGTACAAATTTTTGGCCATTTGTTTGTCAACTTTAAAAATCTTGTCATTAAACTCTCAGTTTTAAATTTGTTTGAATCAAATCACTATGAATGTTGACTGTAAGTATTTGCGTGTTACAAACTACTGTTGTACGAAACAACGGAAACATAAGTATATTTGTATACGGTAGAATATAAAGAGAGACGTATATTACAGTCCAAGCACATTATATATAATGAGTGAACAACGTCGTTGTAAAAGCTTTCGTGGAAGAACAGTTAGATGATTCAATAAGGATGAAAGATACTGGCTGCTAGAAACATTTTTCAAATATGTTTTGAGTAATCACAATTTTAATATATGTTAAACATACATACATATAAATATATACGTTTGTTGTAATACTGAGCAATCGATGCTCTAAAATTATTTACTATGACAAAGTTTTTATTAATAAATGAACTTATTATTGTTACTATTATTACTAGTTTAAAAGATAAGAAACTGTTAACGATAAAAACAAAACTTTCACTCAATGAAAATGATGATATGGCTGAATGAACACAAAAATCTTCAAATTAATATTCTCATCTCATAAATTTCCATAGTTGAATTAAAAGATTAAGGTTGATCTGCAAAATACGGTGTATTTGCACCATACATTTCAAAATTTCATTTGGAACTATTATTCGAGTTTGCAACCAGAAATCCTAAAACTTGAGCACTTAATACAAACATTATCTAAACAGAAGCTCGCGGACCTTTTTTCTTAAGTTAATTATCAGTAGACTACTTAAGTTCACTTAAGCACAGAGTCATGCAACCACAACAGATACATTCACCATTTTACGATGTTACTGGCGAAAGATGCTTTGAGTTACTTGAAAATATAAGAATCCCATCTACAAAATAAAACAGTCACTGGCAAACACTTATCTTTCATTCAATCCATTTATATCATCAGCAGTTGTTACTAATAAATGATTCGGATCGAACTTTTCCACTTAAAAAACAATAAGCATGCAATTACATGAACAGTACTATAATAATCACATTTTTATATAATGAAAAATTTACCGTTTCTTGGTGTTGACTTTGAGGAGGGCCAGCCGATTGCTGCTGTTGATGGTGTTGACGTCGTTGACTGATTCGTGTAGCTCCTACAGTAACACCACTTACTGGGCTACCTATTTTAAATGATTTAGGTCGAATAGATTTATCAGAATGATTAGATGTAATATTAGTTAGATTTCTTTGAGATATCTTAAAAGAAGAAAAGAAGAAACAATCAGTTAAAGTGTACAAAGGAAGAAAGATAAACGTTTGTAGAAAAAGCATCATTTTTCCAAGTCAGACAAAACGCAAATACTGAATTCGGTAGACATATGTGAAAGAAATAAACAGAATTACAGATTCATGGATTACCGGTTAACCTTCATTTCTGTTCTTGGTCATTTTATTTGTCATTTGATAACTTGTACTAACAAGAATAAATATTTAGAGTAAACTATGGTTTTAGAGTCCTTACATTTATCTACACAGTTATTTTTGTCCAAAATGAATTAAATGTAATTAGATTAATAAATATGTTTCTAAAAAATTGCGTCTATAGAATATTCAAAGTGTGAATATCCACTTTAGACTAAATAAGCCAACTAAATGTGTACAGATGGTGTGGATTAGAAAGTTTAGGTTTTCAACTGCACAGGATTAAAATTATCTCTAAGCTGTTTCATGTGAAGTTTATGTTACTTTCCAAGCAAAGGTTTCACTTACATGCCTGTGAGCCACATGCCTCTAGTATAATGGATGATGATATTACGTGGTTATTTGAATGGACATAGGTTATGTGAGGTTCAAATCTGCGACTTACTGTTTAAAAGATTAGCCACAGTACAACATATTATAGGTTTCTATTTTGGATAACTTAGAAACAGACCTCAGTTCTTCTGATACATGATAAAACTTTGATAGGTGTACTGACAAATATTTTATTAGCCTCTTGAATCAACCTACCTCGAAGTCATGGAAGTCTTCACTTTCTTCAGAAAAGAAATACTATTTTACTTCGATAGTAGTATATCCATAGAGGTCAGAAGTGTAGGAAGACGTTCCAATACTTAACCGAGTGTATTATTCGAACTTATCGTGTTTTCTGAACATTTAATACCAGTAAAAAGTTGGTTTTCTAACGTACTCAAAACAGCATATCTTTATATTAAGTAAAGCTATAATTGACATGAAGAGATCATATTTAATATTTCCTTTTATCTTATGAAGCTATGTAATTTTTAATAAATTATTTTGCTTGTGAATTCATATAGGTCAGATATAAAGATTAGGCATTAATAGGTCAGAATTCATTTTAAAAATAACATGTATTCTTAAGGAATTCCTTTTTTTAATCTTACCCACATTACAACAATAAACAGCCATAAAATTAACCAATTTAAGTGTTAAACTAAATCAAATATTTTCCTCAGTCCAATGATTGTTTATATGTTCATTACGTTCTTTGAAGGTGATTGCGTTTTAAGCAAAATCTCAAGGAACCTAAACATTTTTTGTATTGATTAGGGGAAATCGTAATATCGTGTATATTCTTTTATTAGTCAGATAGACTATAAAATCGTCAATATAAACATGTATATCAGAAAAAGCAACAAACATTTGAAAAACTAAAAATAACAACACTTGTAGATGACCGAATTAGAGGTTAGAGAAGGAAGGAGTTTCGAAATCAAATAATCGATTATCAAACAATAGTACGAGAGTTTATTTGAAAAAGAGATCATAAGAGAAGAAAGAGGAAATAGTTTATGAATATGCAATGTCGGATAAGAATCTTGTTATAATATACAATAAAATATAGTGAAATAACTAATTTTTTTTAAATGTCAATCAGTTAGACGCATTATAGAATCTCGAACATACCTCATTACAACTCTGTTTGGTTTGACTAGATAAACGATTATTAGCGGTAGAGTTTTCTATATCGGTTGTTAACTTCTTTGCTTTTCCACTGCTATTGATTGAAGTATGCGGTGAGAGAATGTTATTTGATTCACGGCTTTGATTAGTACTGCCACGATAGCTTGAACGTGTTATTTTAGTGTCACTTAATATTCCACTAGTAACTGAACCAGAAATTTTTGCACCAGGAGGGATTTGAGCATAAGATTTTGATTGATTTCCAATTGTATTGATTGATTCCATAGGACTTGCAGACGCCAAAGTAGTTGAACTATCTGGTTTTGATAAAGGAGATGTGAGTTGAGTTGTATTGACCTGAGGTAGAGGATTACTTCGCCTACTGTAGGTTCTGAATAGAAATAAATTTAAATCATTGACATTGATTGTGAAGAAAACTTTGATAGTTTATCAAAAAAGTAATACTTATTTAGTAACACTGACATGCAGTAAGGTGATTAAGAAATTATTTGAAAGCTTCTACATCAATACTTTACGTTAAAAATCGTGATTGTGTATCGTTAAAATAAATGGTCTTTTTTGGTGTTCAGACTGGAAATTAGGAGGAAAAAAGCTGTTACCGACAAATTAGTGAATAATAACAGTGATATTTGTTTATCAACGTAAGTAGTGTATATCGGTAAAATAAGAAAGAGAAGGATATACTTGACTTAAAAATTTACGAGTAATTGCACTGTTAAGGTATTTGCATACGTCTTGTGACCATTTTTTTACAGTTCCATGAGTTTCATTTTTGTTATTTTAGTTACAGTCAACCTACTTCAAGTCAGTTTAATTAAAAGTTCAACTGTATCTAGACGGTTATACAATATAATAAAACGAACGAAATTAAAACAATGTACAGACATAGGATTGTTAGTGAAGTTTTGTCGAAAAAAATTTACATTCGGTAATAGCACCATTATATCGTGTTAGAATAATCATCTACCAATGAATACTGCATGTTAATAACGGCATACTGTAGATATTAAATATATGTATCATAGATATATATAACATGTACATGTATGTAACACGAATACAATACATAAATATTCAGGTTTAGGTCAATTATAAAAATAAAAACACATTCATATATTATGGATTGTGTATATAATAGACTACTAAAATAATATCAGTAATATGTCTGTGAAGAATAAACTATTTTTCCTAATAGTATTTATTAATCTCAGTGAATATGCAAATACCTATTTAAACTGATCTGATAAATGGCAATAATTTGTTAGTTTACAGCAACACATAATACATATTTTTGATTGCAATGGAATGTTTGACACATTGCGATAAGTCAACTAGTGAATATGTATGGATTTTCACATAATCCATGAGAAATTTTATCTCATTATTTACAATTGAAAACAAAGATCGTTTATTTGTGAAAATGAATACACTTCTGTGTAGAGCTCAATAGAACAGACATATTGAACTTTACAATAATTCAACATTTAAGAAAACAACAACAATAACAATAAAGGAATTTTCATTTCATATTTTCTGAACAAAATAAACTGAATACTCAATGTTCAATTTTAATCCAAGTTTAAGAATTAATATAAGGAAATATTTCTAAGTCTTCATAGTCTTCAAATAAATACTTCAAATACTAGAAATTCACTAATATGCCTCAAGTGGACAACAATATTATCTTGAAATGAATAAATCAAAATAAGTCAGTATAAGTTAATTTAAATGCTCCACGATTGGTAGTCGGTAAGATTTGACTATTAGTCATCCAAGGACAGAATATCTGTACACTAGCACAACATATTAGTCAAGTCAACAGGCATACAAGATGAGTTTATTAACAAACAATCTACTCATTACTATGTTGACGTCAAACTAACTACATGAGTTACCGATAACAAAAACTGATCTTCGTTAAGCAACAAATGAGAACCAGGAGACATTGGATACCAGTTTCGTTCTAGTACAGTGTTTCTCAGGAGTGAGCATTATGATCCCATTAGTCATGGGATTTATGAACCTCCAGGTTCCATGAGGGAGTCTAACCATTAGATCACTGAGTCTGCTTTATATGACTAACTTTAATTGATTTGTGATATTTCAAGACCATTTTTCCAATGTTAGTGATGAGAAACCGTTTCACACTCAGTATAGCTGAATTCTGTGGTAAAGGGTTTCCTATCAGAACTTCGAAAATTACCTGTTGAAATTATTTACCAGTAAAAATGTGATCAATATTAATTATAAATGGAATTCACGGACATTATTCAATTTGCATAACAATAATTTGGACAGGCAAGAATATCTATTTCGTTGACATATTACAAAACTTTTACCGTCTCGATTATTTATAATAAAAATTTCGCATTTGTAGAGTACCGGATGTAAAACTTTTAAAGTTAGAACATACGAAAACTTATGCACGAATCGAAACCTCACCTTGAAAAACTACGATCAAATGCCCGTGAACTACGTCTTAGCTCCATTAAAGTAGACAGAGTACGACCAACTCCACCAACTGGACCGTTTGGGGTAGCAGTTGAAAGACTGCTCCTTCTGGTTATTGAGAAATAACGCTGGAAACCGCTGGCGATCCTTGACATAGCTGCATAAAGCGCTGTTGCTGATACGGTTGATGATGTTTGTTGGTTTAAACCGGCGGTAAATTTACGTTGAGTTGTAGAATTTGGTTCACGGACACGAAAAAATGCATGACAGCTAACTGCATACTGCCAAAATAACTTAGTACTTACAGCTGAAGGGAAACGATAATGTTGCTTTAATTCACTTTCTAAATTAATGGTTGAACTAGTTAATCCGCTAATTGATGTTACATGACCATTCATGGATTTCTGAAAGTGAAATCAAAAAATTACTTATCATATTTGTTAGCGTCTTTTAACGTTGATTCCATACTAATCGAGATAATACAGTTAAACCAGAATGTATAATTTAGGAGAGGGAGTTTTGTACGGATAAATGGTACGTGAAGGATAAAAAAGGAGTATAATAGAACAAAATCTGTGCAGGTTCTACTCTGTGATATGATATGAACCTTCGGAAGAAAAAAATTATTACACTTTGCAACTAACACAAGTAAATCTTATCATTAGACGATAATAAAAAGACCTATTGAATTATTCTTATTCAAATTTGGAAATAATTTTAGGTAGTGTTGTAAATGAAAAATGATTTCATTTTTCTCGGAAACGAAATTACAAATAATTATCCATTTATTCTGATTATTTATATTTCGTGGAGAGCTTGTATGTTTAGTATCTAAATTCCTCATTTAGGATGGATTATGATTCGATTTACTCATAAGGATAGTTTCCAATGAATTTAGTATACTTTTAGTTAGAGCTTTGGAGATTAGTGTTTTTTACACATTTGAAATCATCAATCAATCATTGTTAGACTGACATTAGAAACCTGGAAGCACTGGACGGCCACTTCATCCTGGCATGGAACTCATCAGCAATGCGCATCCTGGACCTCGCAGGATTCGAACCCGGGACCCTCGGTATTGTGCGCGAGCGCCCAACAATCGGACCACTGGGCTAGCATTAAGCGGTGTTAATGTCTAACTCTGATTGATCTACGGATTTTGCGCAACCTCACCGTATAAAAGTATATTGACTAACGTTTCAGTCTATGAAACAATGACTGAGAAAGCATAATCTACAACTAAACGAAGAATTAATACAATTTATAATTATAAAAAATGATCAACAACTAAGGAATATTTGCGTGAATACGAAAAGAAATAGTTTATGAGGAGTAAATCTGTGATATTGAAAAATAAACTGAATATACAGATAAATGGAATATGAAAAACATGTAATACAGTGCATATCACGTTTTTAGATTATTAACATTGATAAATTTTAAGACTATGGACTTCAGGTGGAGTTGTGAGCTGTATGTTTTGTTTGTGTAGTTTTCATTGATCTTCTAAACAATATCACCAGCACAAGCTTCAAGTATAGGTGAAGTATTCGAATTTCTCCATGTATGACTTGTCCTGCTGACTTAAAACTTGATTGGTTGTTATTGAACCTTAGCCCGTCGTTATCTGCATTTTTATTTTGGTTGTCTTTTTTTGATTAGCTTCTTGATCCTACGCTTGTCTATGATTTTTCTAAATGGTTGATAAATCGGATAATCTATGAGTTCCTCTATGGGATAGTAGATAGAAATACATTAAGTGTTGAGTTCGTTGAACTTGATAATAGACTTAGAGCATCATGAACTACCAGAGAGATGACCTTAAAATGAACTTTAGTGAAGGGTTTTGTTTCAAAGAATAACAGTAGCTTGGATTATAGATTTACTGAATATTAGTTATTATGGATAGTGTTGTTTGAGCATGAATGGAGTTTCCACAATATTAGAAGAGACATTCAAATTTATGACTCACTAGACTCGTTTTAAAATGTATTGTGAATCGTTTTCCCTTGAAATTGATTTTCGAAATATTGTCCCTAGAGAATTAAATAAAACAAATTTAAACTCGGCATTTACTCATTGGAATAAAGTTACAATGCAGATCGTATTCAATTTAATGACGGTTGAAACTGTTTACTAATGCATTAAATTCATAAAGCCAGTGGAAATATCAGCTAGCAGATACAACCCATCAAAATGGAGTAAAATATTTGTAATAATAAATGTTCTAAACTTTGTCATTTATCATTCATGTTGTGTAGGACATATGACCATTGTAAGACTTCATAAATTAAAACAGTTAGGACTAAAAGTAAGGCGAATTTTTTTACCAATAAAGCTGTATAGTTGAAGTAGCAATGATAGAAAACTTTTCTGTGTCATGTGATGTGATCTGCTACAAATTTGGTAATTTGAGATTTGAATTTTATACTACTGATTATTGATCAGTAGTCAAATGCGATTAACTATTGTAGTCTCAGTTCTAAAATCATCACTTAGCATATGACAATTTTGGAATTTGCGGAAGAAAGATCCAGCGAGGATCATATGGTTATCAATTCGTACCAAAAACATATCATACGAAACGTAATTATGTTATATGCTGAAACATCCTCAAATAACCAGTACCAAAACATTACTATTTTTTCAATCTTAATGGTATGGCCACAAACACAGTGGGCGAAATAAGCATTATTCAGTGTTAAGTTGTGTGTAATCGTCAAATTCATGTAAATGTGAAATTACATAACACCGATTAACATATTTATTGACGAACAAAATTAGATCAAAGGAAATTCCGGTTTAACTGCCTAAACAAATGTTCGAAGATCGATTAAAATGAACTGAAAATATCAGAAAATACATACCAAGAATATTGTTGTAGCATTTTATTATCTCGAAATAAACTTATTCCAATAAAAGATACTCCAATGGTGATTGCTTGAAGGTCATGTTGTTCATCCTTGTATGGAATAATATAAATCAAAAGAAGACAAAAGGAATAAACATTTGGTAGTGCTATCACATTCATTGCTATAGATCAAATAATTCTACCGTGAAATCGACTCATTCAATTAAACGGTTGCTCACAGTTCAGAAGTCCTATGATATAACGAAACAATAGTCCTGTAACTCCAGTTTTTAATTGTTTTGTTACTGAAATCAGTTCATAATGGAAAATTACAAAATCCGACAGTGTTCATAACCTTCCCCACAAATACTAACAATTATCATGTGCATAATGGTAATAAATTTCGAAAGGTAAACTCAAGAGTTTCAATGAAAATCTATGATCAATCAAGTTCAACTATGATAAATGTAAGACAAAAATCGCCAGTAAAAATGAATGGTAGCAGCAAAAGATGCTGTAAATCGACTACAGTTAGAAATGTAAGTAACAAGTAGTCAACTCAGTTCTGCACCTCAACCCTCGGAAGTTTCAAACTGTTTTTAGTGGAGGATGTGATTATGCTATACAAAGAAGTCCTATGTTGGAAGTCTGGTTTATTGTTAAGAAAAAATGTTTTTTCATGACAAAATGATTTCATTCGTGGCCAGTAAAGTTCAACATACTAGATTTGAAGTAGTATTTTCCCGTAGAATTTGATTAATGTTATTCTATATCATGAACTCGTTTAAGTTAAAAAAAATATGTGAATCATTTGCATTTTTACTTCATGATCTACATGGATCACGTATAGTTCTGCAAAATTCTAGGTTCAGTGACGAATAGTTTACTACAGCTAACAAGCTATAAAAATGATCACACGTTAGTTTGTTTTGTTATCACTCAATATCAATAGTTTTCCAAGCATTTATCAGAAAGAATATTTGACTATTCAGTAACTTTAAACTATGTCTACGTTTAACTATTTTGAATGTCTAATTTAACTAGTCTTCGAATAATAGATTAGGTAGGTATGGCACAGTGATCTGCTAAAGTATGCATTTTTGAGAATCATTAGTGGAACACAGTTTTCTAACTATTTTCACACTGAAGTAAAGGAAATCGGATATGAGATTCACTTAGGACAACTTTCTAATTTATATCAAATAAAAATCATGAGATTTGATTCGTACTAAAACTCCAGAAATTTAATGTCTTTCAGTATAAAAGACTTCAACTTTTACCGTATACCCTTAGCATTTGTTTGAAACCTTTGAGAACAAAAACTACTAAACAAAGTAGTGAAAGAGAGTTATTAAGAGAAAACTAATATAATTGATTTCAATACGAGTAATCAATTTATTTTATTGAAGTTTTCCTAATTTTTTCATCATTCCATTAAGTTGAAACTTTGAGATCAGAAAACTGACGTATAGTAGTACAGTAGTGAGAAATTGATTTTTTTAATCAAAGTATCAATTGAAATTACTTTCAATAAACATTTTGTCGGCTATATTTCTGATAACATTTCAATTAAAAACTTCAGTTACGATACAACTTTAAAACACTGTAAGATATATACAAATATATTTTTATTAAAAATGAATACGAAAGATTTGCTTGTCTAAAACGTTTTTTTGTGAAAGCTGAACAATAACTAACATTAGAAACGAGTTCATGTGACTGAAAATGACACAAAAATAAATCGGCAAAAAAATCTCTCTTAAATTTATGTTTACTACGAACATTTTCGAAAATAAACATTCCCATGTACATTGTACTCTTACTTTTCAACAGAAAAAAACTATTTCTTGGTTCAACAAGGCGACGACAGCCTGTTAGTGGGATCACATAAAAAGCCACCAGAAACCCTTAAAATCACTTTGTAGACAATCTGTAAAAATTAATAAGCTGTGAACAGCGATTTCATCCTGGTGTGAGACGGGGGCTATATCCGAAACCTTTAAGTCTCGTCTTGAGTGTTTAGAGTTTAAGGGTTTGTGCTGACATTCATCTGTTCACATGACTTATGTAACAATACATATTTAATATCAGTATTTTAAAGTATTGATGTTCTGTATAAGACCAGTAAACTTGACTTCAATTGTCATATTTCATGTTTTATTTAAAAATTGCTTACTAAAATGATCAATCAAACAAAACTATCAAATCTAACAGAATCTGTTGTCATTTTTATGAATTTGTTTTGAAAAGTATAGGTGCGTAGTGACATAAAAGATTTTAAATAGTTTTTGCCATAAAAATAATTTATTGAAATCACAATCAAATGACAGAATAATACAAATAAAATACGTTGTCTTTTATTAAATCAATTATTATAATACTGTCAGTTCATCACAATTGAACAATGATCATATGAAGTAAATTACTTTTGTTATAAACAACTATCGACCATAAGAAATAAATACCAAATATGAAGCAAATGAAATATTAATTTACGAAAAATTAAGATGTTTTGTTATCTATGATTTTTTAAGTTAGCAAACTTTGAAGTAGTTATGAGAAGATTCTGTTTCTATGATCGATAAGTCGATAAATATAGTGTTTAATAATTATAGTTTAATTAAAATTGAAATCATTATTAGACCACCGTTATAAGCCTGATAGCACGAGATGGCCGTTTTGTCTTAGTATGTGGCTCATCGAAAGTAGCATCCATGTTCCCCGCAGGCAGGAATCGAACTCAGGACCTTCGTCTTGAGTGTGGAAGCTTAACATTTAGATCACTGGCCCGGCATCCGACGACGTCCATGTCAGAATACGACCAATCCATGACATCATGGATGAGTACTGCTGGAGAAACCTGTGCTAGGATGAAACGACCGTTTAGTGTATCCAGGTTTTTAAGGTGGTCTATAAATGATCGATTCATGATTTCAATAAAACTTATCAATATCCACGCGAAATTATCAAGAAAACTATCAAACTATGAGCTGTTTTTCATGTATGAGATTTTGTAAATTTAACTTGTTCAGATAAAAGAAAACGAAACAGGAAACCGAATAATAGTCATGATAATTCAGAAATATGATAGACTGAGTCGATGGAAGATTGAAATGAAATGAAGCACCTTTCCAATTTCTGTTTCTGTCTTTATCCACTCTTTAGTTCATGTTAGTTAGTATGCATAAATATATTCAAATTAAAGTACTTTCCACTTATCATCTAAATGAATATTTGTAATTGTTAAGCTGCTTATCAATTATATTTTTTTAAAAAGAAGTTTGAATATGGTTCATAGTTGGCCCGTTGTCTTAAGTGTTGATTACCGGTTAATCAGAGATTGATGTATACTTTTGCAAATGTAAGCGCTATAGATGCTTTTACTCCATAGATAAATCATTTGTTATTGATCATTACATATGTACTAATTATAATATTTATTAATTATTACATAATTTCGGGACAGATTACATTCTAATTAAGGTTTCGACATATAATAGGATTCACGATTATTAACATGCAGATTGAGAACTAATTATTAGACTTAAAGTAAACCGCATCTCATAAACCATACTTACCAAATAAAGTATTGAGTTATTAAAAATGTCAATACGAAATATTCAGGATACCATTCTTGAACAGCTCGTTAACTCTTGTTCCATAACTCTATCAGGACTTTTCAGAGATCAGTCACGTAAGTAAATTGTTCGCTAAACTACCTTAGGTACACGCGTATTTGGTTAACTAACTCCATTATAACGAAACTGTTTAAGAAAAAGAATACTGATCAGTCAGTCGATTTAGTTATGTGGAAATTATCAAACATGCTCAAGTGTTTTGTGTTATCAGCCCCGTTTTCAGATATTTGTAAGTGATTATCTTATAGCAAGAATCACTTAGAAAATATGTATATGAGATTTTAAAACCAAAAATTATGAATTGTGGTGATTTATTTGTGATGTAATAGTAGCTAGAGAACAAGTCATTTCTTAAAAATCATTAAATATTTGCTCATCAATATATGATTTTATACAAACTGATCGTAATTTATATGCAAAAACTGTCAACTCAAAACAGTTGTACACACATTTTGTTTAGATGATAAATCGAAATTTCAAGAGACTATGGCAGAATGTATTTTCACTTAGATTGATGAATATTAATTATTCACAAAAAAGATAACAAATTTCACTAAACATCCTACACATAATACACAATAACAAAGAAGTAATAAATGATTACAAATTGAACTAACTCACTTTAACCACATGACTTTTAACTCCATAATGATCCAAATAACGAACTACATTAAGATATTCTAATTCAGCAGCTGCTGGTAAAAGTGTGCTATTTTATGAAAGAAAAAAAAAACAAGTTACAAAGACAGAAAAAACGAAAACACATCGATAAGTAAGATGAATAAACATGAAAGTAGTTGGGCATCAATAGTTATACACTTTCATTTAAGCATCTACGATAATATTTTATTTGTGCCTATATCTATCAAATACTACTTTGATTCAATCTTACACATATCAATAATGTAGCAAACTTTACAAAATTACCAATTACAATCATGTAATATATATATATATATATATATATATATATATATATATATTTATGCACGCTTGTAAGTTTATTGTTATACGAACAATCATTAATCATATATCGATTACAATGAACCCAGGCAGAAATCGAAAGCGTCATAGAAACAACTTTTAAAAAAATTACCATTTTAAAGACTAAGACTCATTGTCACGTGTATATAACTACTAGGTGAATATTCACACGGAAATCAAAATAATCTAGCTGGTAAATAAATAAATGAATTGAAGATAGTATTCGCCATATGGAATGGTATCATCAAATGAAGTATCATGTAAAACATTACTATTAAACATTGAAATTAATTCTATGATACGGTTGATAAATTTCTTAGTGAATTATATTCAAAAGTGTAGTAGTGTGGTGTGAGCTACTTATAAGTAGTATATGACGTGAGTGTCAACGTAATGTCTGGCAGCAGAAGATGGGGGAAGATCAAGAAAGGAAGAGTTAGAAAACAATGGAATTTGTATGAAACACATGAATAGTGACAATGGATTGATGTTTTGCAACAGGAACAGTCCAGTTCGATATGATGGACTGATATTTTGCGAATGAACGATTTACGATATGGTTTTCCAATTTTACTGAGTAACGCTGTAATTTTCGTTAAATACAATTCGGTTGCCCCACCTGTGTTCTCCTTCACTACAGTAGAAGTAGCAGTAGCCCATAGAGTAATGAATGACTTGCATTATAACCATGAACATGGGGCATGAGTAGAATGAAGTAGCTGGACGAATTGAATTTCAACTTTACAATCTTGACAATATAATGTTTATTGTTAAATTTGCAATATCCAGATTCTATAAACGTAATCATTACATACTGAATGATCAAACTAAGATGGATCAAAGGTTGGTCTATTCTTATTTCTTCATTTTTTTAGTGTTTCTCAAAAAAATATCTGTCAACTAAATAGATATCCAGTCAATGCATAATAAATAAGGTAGCAGCTTATAAATTATATGATGAAATAAAAAGTACAGATGTTTTTCCGTCTGACAAATTACTGATGCACTAAATGAAATATACAGATAAATTATGTTTTTTTCTTTCATTGTTTTTTACCTAATGAACATATATATTGTAAAGAAAATTCAGATTTCTGTTAGGTGGTGAATATATTATATATTATATATAAATGATGTCTTTTACAGGATATACCATTTCAAATATTTTCATAATTAAAAGATTTATTTTACAATGTTTTCAAAATAGCCATTTGATATTGTATTTATGTATGGCATGTATGTAATGATAAGTGATGTCACATGATATAAAGAAAAAACCATAACCAATAAATTTGCAGTAGGCACAATTTTGCAAAATGATGTCAAATGAGGTAAACATTATGATTAATAGAAAAAGAGGAGATATTGAGTTGAAAACAATTTAGTCTCTCTCTAAGTGGTTCGTTAGAGCTATGAATTTTCACTTTTCGCTTTGACCAGTGAAGTAGGACTCAGTGGTTAACATAAAAAAAACTCAATTAAACATTTGTTATATTAGTTTTATATTCATAGAACAGATTAAAATTTACGACCGGAATTACTGTCAGAAAGAAACACAGACTACGGGAACTCAAAATGCACAAAATGGTAATCGTTATAGATAAGTAAAATCGGCTATCATTTCAGTTAAATGTTCCCACCCGTAATATATTGAATTTTAACAAATTTACATTTAAAAAAGATTGCAGCATTGTTAACGATTGTTAACATGTCTATCACTTATTTTGAACAAATCCATTTAGAGTGGTTGCAAGAGTGTAGGTAATCTTGAACAATAGGAAACATATGTTTAGCATATTGTTTGCATATAATCTAATCTGCCAAATTTATCAGCAAGAGTTGGGTACATAATTCATGCTTGACTACGAAGTATAGCAAACTGTCAATAGATCGTAAAAATATCTGTGTGTCTAACGTTTCAGAGAATAATCGCGATCGATTTCTAAGTAAAATAGAAAGTAGTTTAATTTTATGAATGCTTCATAAACAATCACTACATTGTATGATCTATATGTACTAAATGTGGTCTAGTTCATCATTCAATTGCTATTTACTTATTACTATAAACAATTTAATGGACATTGTTGAATTTAGAGTTTTACATCACCAGTTAATTTTGGTTAAACAATGACTGAAAATCAGAAAGCACCTAAACACTTGTTTCGCCCTGGTATGAGACTCTTTAGCACTGTAAACTCAAGATACCAATAAGGATGAGACCCAGGACCTTAACCTTCACATTATGGTTTAACCAGAGTTAGTCCATGATACTCATAATGCTGATTTGATTTCCATTAGGAGGGCTTATAAACAAAAGTAATGTCACTTGAAATATATTGAGTTTTATAAAGTGATAATATATGGTTGAAAGTCATTATCCAGTGGTATATCAATAATCTCAACCCGCCTACGAGGTATATGACTTTGAGTCTCACTCTAAATCGGAGAGGTAGTGACACTATTACGTAGCTCAAACAGAAGTAAATGAAGCAGGGTTCGAACTGCGGCTCAGGAACTGAGTATGCGGCGCCCAATTTCAACGTGTTCTAGAGCTTTGTAATTCGCTCGTCTAGGCAATCGTCACCAAATAGCGCCTGACGGTTATAAATCAGAAGGAAAACACGAGGGATTGAATACGTTTATTTTTGACACAGCACGAAATGGGACAGTGGACCACAAGCAGACAGGGTAGGCACACCAGCGAGAGAATTGGCGAATTAATTAGATTAAAATGTACATATATACACATAGCAAAATGTCTGAGTCATCGAGATATTTAAGAGATTAACATTAAAGCGAATGGAATGAATATGCACGTGGGTGGTAAGCAATATTCAGTCATACCAGCTCATACAAACCAAGCATACTAGGCACCACCCAACTCTGCCCATATATACATCATGATCTTCAGATTGATCCCTCTTTCTTACTTGTTCCGATAGTGTGCTTAAGCGTTACCACTCGAAACTTATATCGACACATTGATTTCAAACATAAGAATAGATTATATTAACAACACAAAAGAATTATAACTGCGATAAGAAGATGGATAATAAATACTTCAGCATGGTCAGTTAGTAATTTTTTTCAAATACATTTTAGAATGTAATTAGTTTTAAGACAAAACATTTACGTTATAAAAGAATAATTTAACATCTGGCAATAGGAAAGAAGAGGAATGGAGACAGAACATACTTTTTTTGAATGACAAATGTCTGCTGTTAAATTTTATTTCATTAGTGCATATCTATTAATCCATTTGTTTAATAGTCAGATTTAGATAGGAATCTTAAACTATTTTAGATGTTACGAATTTGGCGTTCTACTCTGAAAGCAAAAAATTGGTCAATACAAATGACAATATTTTCCATGTAAGATAAAATATAACCAAAGTATCGTTTAAGGCGCGAGATAATTTCCTTTCTGTATTTACTGAGTCCCGTCTTCAGAAAATTACTTGGAATACTTAGCGACATATTGAATCATGAAACCAAAAATCATAGTAATTGCTAATTATGATATCTGAGAGCAATTATCCAATTCTGCAAACATGTGAATTTTCGATCGATAAACAATCGAATTTTTAGCATAAGAGCAACTAATGTAATTTGAAATACAGTTAGATTATATCTTATTTTGTTTGTATATACGACTAAACTTGGATGTAGGTAAATATACTTTGATACTGACACTATTTTAATGCGAGAATTGTTTTATGTTTCACCAATTAACATGATCATTTTCAAGCAAAATTTTATAGAGATACAGTAGGAATAGTTGGTTTCAATCAGTGAATTGAATGAATAAAGAAGAATACTGTCTATGTATACCACTTGACTTAATATTTTTTTTCTAAGCAAGAATAATATGGCGCTACCTGTGTAATAATGATTTTCAAATTACAAAATCAATTGAATGCTATTCGAGAATAATGCATCCGTCACGCTGTTACATAATAAATTTCATAGTAATTTGTATGACATCAGTTTGAACTTGACGATTGTCAGTATACGATTATAAAATTCTACACCTATTTACTATACAATGCATATATCCGTTTACCCGATCAATCAATAAATCTATGTGTATGGTATACATTTTAATGACACTAGTTGACCTTAGAGAGAAAATAAATTCGGTGTCATAGCTTATTTTAAACTATTATAATATATGAATACAAGAGAAAAGCTTATTCACCCCAAAACTGAAACATATACAATAAATAAATGAAATTCTTATTTTTGAAAGACGAAATCCTTAAAAAAGGAGAATAACAAATATATATATATATATATATATATATATATATATATATATATATATATATATATATATATACAGTTATTGATTATTTTCATTACTACTACTACTTCTACTACCATTAGTATCATTGTTAATTATAGGAGCAAAAGTATTACAAAATATTAAATAAATATGAGTAAACAATACATATTTTCTATGGTTGTTTACATAGTAAACAGAAACAGCATCTATATATAGTTTAAGGAAGACGCCCAAAATTATCTTTCACGTTCATGTCGTTGGAAGAAGAAAACATTTTATCTATGGGAGTGAATAATGTAGTTATAATTATCACTGTTGTTGTTACTATTATTATTGCTGATAATTGAATTGAATTCCAAATAAACATCTGTTTACATGCCAATAGAAATTAATGGAAACAAAAGGTATACAATATGCACTATTCATACAGTAGATATCGAAATAAATTTATGTAAATATGAAAGTTGTTTTAATTGAGAGATTTCGTAGAGATTGGGTTAACATGTAGGAGGTTTGTTTTTAAGCATTGATTTCCGAAGTGGTACCATTTAAACCAATAAGCACAGAACAGCTGATTTTTCCAATTTTACGGTCATATAAGCAGTGTATTCCTAACAGGAGTCCGATAGTGGAATGAAACAGCTGTCCAGTGAACTCTAGCTTCGATGATTCTACAGCTGATGTCAATCTCTGACAAAACGATTATTAAATGGATAACAGTCATAAAACAATTTGTATTGTAAACAAATCAACTACAATAATAGAGTCTAAAGAAGGAATGTAACAATATCCATTTTATGACAACAAAGTCGCATGTACGCAAACGTAACTTTGCATTCTGAGGTGTATGAACGTACGTGACAGATACTTCATCTATACACACACACACACATGCAACAACAATCTCAGATGATCTTCTCATAATCACACTTTATACTGAATGAAATGTTCTAATCAAATAAATCAATATATTAGTTACTTTAAGTAAAATGTACAGAAAAAGTTTCAAAATTTAGTGAAAAATTTTCATAATATTGAATAAAATTTAAAAGAAATGATTTAAGTAGTTTATTATTACATTACTGATACTTTTGTAAGTGATTACAATGTAATTCATGTGACGCATTTTTTTTACAAAAGATTTTTATCAGTAAAATAGTTGATGGAAAGACGTGATGATAAGAATATACAATTTGTTTCATCAAAAAAGGAAATTTTCAATAAATTGGTTAGAGTGCATATAGAACACCAAAATTGAGGATATTATGCATGAAATCAGGTTATGTATATATAGTAAAGGTCTGAGTGAAAAACAATAATGTGAACTATTTTTAATATCATATAAAAAATTAATCTGACAGTAAAATATTGATTGTACTTCACATGGGTGTAAACTGTTTGTCATGCTCGTCACTTGATATGCTTGAAACTATTACGAGTTCACCTTAGTCGATAAATAAGAACAAGACAATGAACCAGTGACACGGTAGGCTACTCTGATCCGTTGCCCCAAACTAACTGACGAAAACGTCTTGATATAGCGTAGAAAGTGCATTCTACAAGCATCCAGCAAACAATCAATCTTCTCAAGCACACAAATTACGTTTATTTATGCATCATAGAAACGTCCTTGGGAGAGTCACAAAAATAGCACACTAAAATCACACATCAACCAATCACAGTCAAGGAACATACTGGTGGTAGGTGATCTCAAGGTCAACTGATCAGCCCATGAATAAAATCCAAAATTAAAACCCTTTCCAAGTCAGTTCTGGGGATCTAACGTCCCCAACACTGTTCTACCGTATAATCGAGGAATCAATGCTGTTGGACAGAAACATTTTCGGCGATTCGATTTATTCGATTATCGATATCTTTAGTGATGTGTTTAGATCTAGCGGTAACATTATGTAAGAATAATGCCTAGGTTCAAACTGCAATTGAGAACCGAATAGAGATAATACGTCTGTTGGTGATAGTTTTAAATAATGTCAGGTTCATTAGCTTAGATACGTTTTAAGCATACATCCTTGAGGTTCTCAGTTCATATTTTTACTGACAGAGGGAGTAGTTGAAAATAAATAGAATGGCAAATAGTTTATGACATGTTGTGGATTAGTGAGAAACGGTTGTATTCCTAGCAAAACCTGCAGGTCATGGGTAAAATAACTAGGTTTCTTAATCTAAAAAATCTCAGCAATCAACAAAATATTCAAATTCGAATGAATAACAACTGAAAAACGCTGATAAAATTCTTTCAGCGTCAGACCATTAAATATACCTAGCAGATTTGAAGTTCTTCAACTACAGACGTTCGTTCCATTGGGATCATGAACCTTCTGTGGTTTGACTTTAAAAGACATAGAACTAATATTCTTGTAATAAGTCCTAAAGATTATCGGCTTACTCAAAATAACAATGGTGAATACAAACTACTGAAGTCAGATAACAAATGATCAGTTGCAGTAACAGTAAATGTATCATCAATAATAATAAAAAATTGAGACTTGAAATAAAATACAAATGTTAATGTACTGATCAAACTGTTTAAACAAATGAACTGAATGTTTCTTATAATTTAAATAAGGTTTGTTTTCGGGAAAGTGTGTGAACTTTATTCGCAAAAATATGATTTCTAACAGTTGTTTGATTATTATCAATCATGTATGAAAATCTTTGAGTCGAATTATTTCACAGAGATAATAGTAGACTAAAAGCAAACTTCACGTTGGATTGAAAAACAAGAAAATTCGTTAAAACTATACCAAAGGGGATGTAATACCGGAAAATTAAAAAAAATATACATTATCCGGTTGAATATTAGCTTGTTTCCTTAATGGGTGTATGTATTCCCAAAAATACTATCGATCTTCTTACTACTTTTAAAACGAAACCAACGCCCAAAATAAGGAAACCAATTTACATATATATATAGTTGATTTACTTGACCTTTGTTTTACCTTGATTTACGATGCCATTCAGATGCTTGTGCTTCAAAATCAGAATTTTGGTTCTGTACAAATCGAAATTGATTCACATAGCCTGGACGGCATTCCTCAGGAGTGTAGTCACCTAATTCAGCTATAAGCAGTAAAATAAAAAAGAATATTAAGGATAAAAAACAGTTTTGGTGCCTTAACCCAATACATAATTTAATAATCTATTAAAAACCTTTCTACAGAACTCTTGAATCTGTGATTAGTTGGTATATAGAATGTTGTAGGCGGACTTCAACTTTAAATGAACCAATATTTTGATTTATTGGACGATCGGTCGGAAGCCTTGGAAGTAATTTCGCTGCTCGTCGGAACTCGTAAGCAATGAGCATTTAAAGTATTCAGGGAGCTGGCATTCTCGTTTTAGAGTCAAGTTACTCATCGTCACATTTAAAAACGTTACTGATAGGCTATCCAGGCAGATTACAAACTTTCACCGGTGCTAATTCGTCAACTAGTAATAATCACCATCATGCTGTCTAATTCTTAATAGTGATCACATTTCATTAAGTTCATCAAATGAGGTGAATAACTAATCCAGTTACTACTCATATATTTAGGTTTATCTAAAGGATTACTAAATGGTTGTTATCAATCAGTAATAATCAGCTTAGGACCTGACACAAATATGCGTTGACCCGAGCTTCTGTACCAAATTTCACAACGAGATCAATTAAAATAGATAATTAGTAAATAAACTCGAACAATGAACTGGTAATGTCAAGGAAGACTTATAATTGAGAATATGGATAGAAAAGAACAAGTGTGGAGAAATACTAGAATTCAAAATCAAGAGGAAGATAAAAAATGAACACATCTGTTCAAGTGTGTCCGATACTCCGTTATGTGGCTCAGTCTCCGCCCACTTATCAACGTTACCAAATATAGCCTAACCAGGTAGTATGCATCTACCAACATTGGTCGAACCAACTGTCACTGACCTAATTGGCTTATACCATAACTTGGTTTGGCCAGTCCTAGCTTTCTTCCAACCCACCAACACCAGTAAACATCAGGCGAAATAAGTAATACATGTCCGAACCGCCTGAGTAGATACAGATTCATTACCTCATCAATTGACTTGTCATCTTTTCCAAGTATCTTATGTCTAGGCTCAACATTCCTCACTCGCTTCACGAAGCATTGCTTTGAAGATACCAATAATCAGAACCTGCAAAATAATCATTTCATTAGCTCTAAAAGTCCACGTCTCATGACCAAAAATTAAAATAGAACGGAATTCTGTGTAGTAAACACTGCCTGTAGTTGAAAGACGGACACTTTGCCTATGTCACTTGTGACATAGGTCGACAAAAGACAACCGAACTCTCTAAATCCATGTAGATATTTTGTCAGACACAAGCATTACGGTTAATATGACTTCCAAAATAAGTGGAGTGGTCGACGTATTTAATTCAAAGGTGAAATTAGTTTCATAAGATTATAATTAGAAGCACAAACTCGAAGTAGAATCAAATAAAAGCAAAAAGCTCAATTCCATGAAAAAAATGAATCCCAGATTCTTCAAATTCTCTACCTGCGTGTTAGGTTCTTTACTAAGCAACTCATTTACAACCTCAAGTCTGTTTCAAAAAAGTTAAGACTAATTCTAAAATCTCTACTGAATTCAGTGCTTAGTTAAAACATTGTGTAAATATCCAATATAATATCACCTCTCAGCGACTAACCAATCCACACAATATCACGTACAAATCGGTTAGCAAAAATATGAAGATAAGATTTTCTCGAAAAAAGCTTTGTGTTACCCAATGACTAAAAACACGCATGGATATATTCTAAGGAAATCAAATAATTTGAATCGGTTAATTGTAGGCCACTGATTTCGATCAATTATAGATTGTTATGTGATGACACACTCGCTTGGATCTTGATACTATATATTATATTTATCTCAGTGATTAGATTAAATATAATTTTACCAAACAACGTCAGAACCATTAAAGTTGCCGAAAAGTGGAAAATCATCGATTGTTTATTTATGGGAATAAAAGTGAATGAGTAATGTGATTATGGCTGCATAGATGAAGATATGTTTCAGAAGTGATATTCATAATATTAAAACCAAAAGTATATTTTTGCTAATTGCATCTGTACTGAAATCTATAATAAAGTCACGAAGTACTTACATTGTAAGGCTAATCCAGCTAACTGAGTTGCAATTGATTTGGGAACAGGAAGACGGCCGTCTAAAATATCTTTACGTATTTGTAAGAAGAACTGATATCTGAAAGATATACGGGAAAATAAACAATAATTCATACATGGTATTACTTTGGAGAAGAAAATCAAACTGTATATGACAGAATAAACTGTGAAGCATTGGATTTTGGCTCTGTGACTCAGATGTATTTATTTTTATTGGCTAAGATACCCAAAGGTAAGTAATGCTGTTGATTCCTTGAACGATAATAGGGTGAGAACATCATTTTAGTGCTTTGCTTGATTTTTTAATCCTTCATCGAATAACATCAGTTACTGCTCTCAGATATACAAGAACAGTTTTTAAAAATCCACTTAACTTGATTAAATATACGCCAAACAACAATAATGAATTACACTTGTCAGCAGAGTAGATGAAACTTCGGAAATGAAAGAATCATTTCACATTTTTATCTTCATACTACGGTGCCTGTATTTTCAAAAAAAGATTATTTATTTAACATTTACCTGTAAAATTATGAATCGAATAGCAAACATTTATGGATTTACTAATTTAGTATATGAGATTATTCTAAAATGAACTATTTTTGTAAAACCAACAATCTTTGAATATACTACTGAGAATAAAAAACAAACTATTAGCTACATTGAATGTCTGTATTCAAAAGTCATTATATATGAACGTGTTCATCATGAGATATCATGAGTTTCAGCTGTCGGATTCCTATCACTAATAAGTTTTTTGACTGTTGAGGAAGTAAATTTTTGATTTTCTGATAAATTTTTAATTATTTACTTAAGTTGTCTTCAAATGGTTACCTTATATATCTTAGACTTTACAAACTTTATATTTCTTAATTGATTAAAATATAACAAAACAAAAATTACATTTGAAATTACATTATGGTTTTATTAAACTAACTCTCTTAAAAATGTTTAAATCAAATTGCGCCTGTTTGTGTGTTAGAGAGAGAGAGAGATTTCCTTGACACTATGAGCAGGTATCGTGACTACAAAAATGTATTATTGTATACTGTTTTACATAAAATCTTTAGTTCAAAACTTAACTAGAGAACTTACTAGTGGTACACAACAATCAAATCAAATCACCAAAGTGGTAGTTATTTAACTAGTTGAAAGTGAATTGTGACATTATTTAACATTTAGAATACAATTTTTCTGTTTAGTTCGCCATTATTTTAATACCGATTTATACAGTTTTTGATCAAATTTAAGTGTCAAACCGTTGATCAATATTATTGTTGTCATAGCCTGTTGCGCTAGTCTTCTTTTTTTATCAATTTCTACTTTTACTTAGTAAGTTAAGTTATGATATTTACTTCAATGTTATCGCCGGCTCATAAATTGTCTTGGTCGGTTCAATACTTTACATATATCCTTATAAATATTCTTGTATATTAGAGTAAAGCCTGATGAAGATATGAGTGGAGACAAAATTGTTTGTTTATGTGTTATACTAATTTAGACTTAACGGTATTAATAAACGAGATCAATAAAATTCAGTTAGATTTATCAGCTCAACCATATTTACCATATTAACTACCCTTGAACCAATCAATGAATAGATTATTATACAGCGATGAAACTTAATTTAATAAACGTCACAGAATGCAACGACAATTCATTCGACCTAAGTGCAGTGTCTGATAAAATATATTCCTGAAAAAAATACCATTTCATTCTTAAAAACTGATGAGCTGAATGAATTTAAGACCTGGTGAAAAAATCCACTAAACCTGATTTGTCAAGGCTGAGAAAGCATTCAAGTCAAATAATTACCTGATACAAGTTTGATAGTAAGAAGGAACTTGAAAGAATGTAGGAATGGTTGTAAGTACTTTAGAACTTTTTTCCATGCAATATATTTACTTATTCAGAGTAGTAACACTAATAAACATTAAATCTATTTGGTTTAATTTTAAATATTTACGATTTTAGAACGTACTCTAATGATAAGTAGTAGTTGGTTGAACAATATGTTGTTAAGAAAATAAAAAAATTTAGTATGAAAGTAACTAGAATGAAACTGGATACAATCCTATTGAGTTTTACTAACTTTGTTAAAGCATCAGATATGTAAAGTCAAGAATTTATTTCTAGTATAAGTCATTTCGCTTTAATTAGTAAGCATTATGCGATATGATCAAAACAGTGTTACTCCTATTTTTAATCATAATCAATCGAATTATACAACATTTTCTGTTCATAATAACAGTCCGTGCATAAATGATAGCAGTTCAGACAACTGCATTGAAAATTTGAGTTTTTAGGAATAAAGTTTGTGAGTTTATGCCTTCTAGCACCAAATTAGTGAAATATTTATGTTGGAGATGTTAGATCCCCAAAACTCGCCTGATAAATGCCTTATTTGGGATTTTACGTTTGCCAGTATGGGCTGACCAGTTGACCTTGAGATTTCAATTCCCACCAGGAAAATCCATGGCTGTGATTGGCTGCTGTGTATTTTAGTGTGCTGTTTTCTTAACTGTCCCAAAGACGTTTCTATGGTGTATAAATAAACGAGAGTTGTATGCTTGACTGTACTGTGATTGCTGGGTGTTTGTAGAATATACTTTCTACGCTTACAAAGCCTTTTATCTTCTGCTTTGGATTCATGGTAGCCTACCTGGACGCTGGTAACTGTCTCGTTCGCGTTTATCGACTAAGATGAACTCGTAATAGCTTCAAGCGTACCTAGTGACGAACTCTACAATTTAACTTTCTGCATTTTATTTGATTGGGTCGTCTACCATATAAATAGAAATTATGCATAAAAGATACATTTGATATAAAATTGTACTATATCTTATAAAAAAACAAATTTAAATTCCTTAGTTAATCCAACATTGTCTCTTCCGTATAATTAACAATATATGAGATGGTAAAGAAATTCATCTCAGATAGATAGTTTCTTAACAAATGTGCTTACGAGTGACGATCTTCGAAAAGACATTGTCAAAATTCTTGCAAAGCACCCTGATTAATAGTTCATTTATATCGAATGTGAAGCAGCTATCCACAGAAGACAATAGACAATGATCAAGCAATATTGCAAGTTGGTTGATGTTAGATATGTCTCCCGATAAATTTTGGCTCAATAAGTCGAAGATGAAATACTCACCTTGAGGCTTGAAGGTTCCTGGTTCGAACCTTAGAGTGATTATAGTTAAGTGCTGATGAGGACTTTCATACTAGGATGAAACGCGAGTACAAGGCTTCCTGGTTTTCTATGATTATTTAACTTAGGTTGGTTCATAATCTGAATAATAATAGCTACTAAACTGTAATTTTATTTCATTCAATTCATTCAAAAGTATTTTGAAATACATGTAATTCAAAACTGAATGCGTCTATCACGAACTAATACTAGTTAAAAGCAGTAACTCATCAATGATAATAGATATCGATTGTACTGTATTGTAAGTGTAAATCATGCTATTCTGACTAAATAGTTTAAGATTATTCAAATTTAATATTAATAACTTCGATTTCGCGCTGAATCAAGAGTGTTACATGGTTTCAAGGGATTTTTAAAACACTGTCGATTTACGACGAAAAAAAGATAACCCTTAATTCATATGGTAGTTGAGTAGAACTATCTAGATTAATAGTATTATCATAGTATTACAAACTGCTGCATCAATCATTATTGATAAAAAGAACTTGAGAAAAGCTTAACAAATGATAACACAAATGGAAATCAATACAATTCAACTTTTGATTTTTGGTAAGTATTGATGTAAAAGTAATCATATTCATGATTATTTAATCTCATACTGTGTGCAGTGGTGATGCACATATAAACAAATGAATAAATGTGGATTAGAATGGTTTGTTAACCTACATCAAGACATTTTATAAAAAGAAACACATTGATCTTGAGTTAAATCAATTTTTTGTCAACAAAAACAAAAAGTATATTCATCTCATCAAAATGATTAGCAGACTTGTTTACATAATCATAATAATAATAGTAATAATAATAACTGAAACAATCATCGATATAATGTAAAATATTTGAGAGATTTTACACTTCATTTCAATGTAATTCGATTACAGTTAATTGTCATTTGTGTTGTTTGGGAGAGAGCAGGTTGCTATTTTTCAATAGAAAATTTCCTTGAATGGATTATTATGGTTTATTTTTAGAAAAGTGAAAGAGAGAGACCACTTATGACACTAAGATTTACAATTGAGTTCACAGCCTGAAGTGATGATCATGAACTCGATTGTAAGAAAACGTGTATTTAGAATGTATGGCTTGATAGATTTAGGAGTGCGAGAAAGTAACTGATCATGATCTTTTATTTTCAGTTGATGAAAATAGTTTGTATGTTCTGCATAAAACAATAAATTTATATGAACAAATTATATGAAAGTTGAGACAAAGAGTAAAGAGGTTTTGCTGACAATGAAAATGTTTTATTCTACTATATGTAAGGTTCCGATTCTAGTTTATAATTTTTGTTTGGATTTCTGTTCATCAATTAATTGATAAACTATGTTTTCACCCATAAACAAGTAGTTTGAGTACCCTAAATGCATCCACATTTTACATTGTTGTATTATTTAGAATACATATCATGTATGAACGCAATAGAAATTAGCATAAAAACAATTGTTTTCATATTACAAATTATAGAGAAATCATTGCTTTTAATGAGGAGTACTGTTGAATCAAAACAAAATGGTATTGATGTGTTTATTTATAAATTCTAAACTGATCTCCTACATTCATCTTCATTAAATATCATATACATGAGATTTTAAAGCAGTTTTTATCAATAATATTGTATTGTTATGGCATTTTATTTCGAATACCTACTAGATCGACAATGTATATGGATAAATAAGCATAAATCTTTATTATTAATGTACACCGGCTTGTAATTGACTTGATAACAAAATAATGTATAGATGTGCATAGAGATTTGTGAACTACAAAACAAAGTATCGTTGTTTTAAGCAAATTGTATTGTTTAATTTATATTTATATAAGTATGCATACTCCATCACGAATAGTTCGATTTTAATTTTTGACTT